GAGCAAGAGATCGATGACCTTTCCTGCACTCCAAGTTGTACTTAACAAGATCTAGGCGTAGCATTCACCGATACCTGCAGTATAGTAAACCAACGTAATATATGGTACCATTTTGTTACCTCTAAGAAGTTGGAAGTATTGAATCTGGCTGAGACGTGGCGGATCCCTAGTTTTCTCCACAAAATTTCAACTCAGTGTTAATTGTACCTCAAATAGACAGAATATAAAAAATCGAGATAATGTTCTGTAATACATATGTCTTCAAGTTAAAAAAATAAGTCATCGATCCGTATTTATGCCTCCAGGACAAGGCATTTTCGACCTAGGGAAGCGAAGATGGCATATGCGAATAATTTGGTAAAACTGTTCGTGAGTGTAGCTCATCGCAGTCCCCGAAATCTGTATTTGGACTAGTTACCGCGTGTCCGCAACAACATGAGTTTCCCTTGCTCTTTGCCAATGGGGGATGTGAAATTACTTTGAATACTTTGGCTTGTGGTGAAAGTAATCTGCGGGCACTACGAATTCTTGGCAGCGATTGCGGAGAAAATAATTGAGGCTGGCGCAGCAGATCATCCTTGCCAGCCGACGCGCATTGCACTACATTTAATTCCGTTATGGCTAGACACGATAATGGTTAGCAGTGAACAGCGTGTGCATTCTGTTCAGGTCCTGGAGCAACTGGAAGCGAAGGACTATTGAACGGTCCAAGTTAGTTTAAAGCTACGGTGCCATACCCGTGTCTAGTGGAGCCATTCTGCAAACATGGTGAGAACAACTTTGGTTGTATCTATCGAGCCATTAGTATAGTGGACTGAGCTATGCTGCAGTATTCATCCACTACATCATTTTCCTCTATTATAAAGTCGGACAGCTGGACACTTAAGCCAATCTGGTTCGGTAGGGAGCAGAGGGCAACGCGTAATATGAACTAAATCCCTTTAGTCCTGTTCTGCAGGCGATTGCGAGGTATGCGAAAGATATTGGAATTTCCGCGCCAGTAGTCCGGATAGTATCTTGCAGCCGCAGCGAAGACGCTACTCCAAGGGGATCTATGCTTGCATGCAACGGCACATCAGATCTGCAGGTGGCCTAACATAATTACAGGGCTCTGACGAATTGCGCATAATTTCCAGAACTGGGCTGGAGTCTACACTGACCGCACACCTCGCATCCGTATAGCAAGGTTCCATAAAGTTGGTTTATGAACTACTAACCTGCTGGTGACGCGGCATGAATCGCTGAGAGCGTTAAACCGGGATGAGTCATTCGACGTGATCCACGTTGTTTTAAGTAGAACGTTCAAAACCTTAAGCTGGTCATCGTGCACAAGGGTTGAATGTGAGGTGTTGGTGACTCCCTGCATCAGTTGATCAGCGACTTTTTATTGGTCGAAAGTGCAGAGTGCGTGTGAACGATCATCAAACCGGCTGGTATCCTTCCAAAATTGGCGTACTCCAGGGCACAGCAGAGGGGTCAGTTTTATTTTAAATTCACGTCTACGAACTAACTAGGGTTCTATGTTCACCTTGGGCTTTAGTTGCAGACGACCTGGAAATAATTAGAGCAAGTGATGCTTTTGTCGACTGGGACGAAATTTACCACGACCTCAAGTACTTGTCTGTGTAGTGTGAAGACGTTGATCTACCGGTCAACCCAACCAAGTCCTTAGTTACGAGCTTGTGGAAATATGTTTATGGGTGTAGGTGCAATCTAACCAGCCATCCCATATATTCTATCCTTTATCTGAAGAACCTATGAGTACTCTCATGCTTCAACCTGAATTCCAAAGACATGAACAGGTTATAGAAAAACGGAATGAGCATGTTTTGGGTACATTAATGCAGCTTCTGTAAATCCCATCTGCTCTTCCATCATAATAGCAATACTCGAGTGCGGATCTTTGCCGATTTCCGATCACCCGCAGAGAGGTTCAAAGACTAGAACTGTTAAACCAGTAGCTAATTGGATCACATTTATTTTACGGGTTATGCTGCACGAAGGCCGGTGAGAGAGACTGGGGATGCACACTGCCGTATAGCCGATTTTAGTCAGAATCATAACGAGGCACTACATATTACATCTGGCTAATTTCCTTGTTGGCAATAAGTCGCGAATCAAGCAGAAGTCATGTATTAAATTGCGCACCTGATCGTCAGTCCTCGGTAGCTCAATTGGTAGAGCAGCAGACCGGTAATCCGTACGTCCGGGGTTCGGTTCCCCGTCAAGGCAGATTATTGTGCAAAGTATAATTGTGGCTTCTACAAAAACCATTTTCTTTTTTCACGTGTGCGTAACAAGCAGCACGGAACTGTAGAGACCTTTGGCAACTGAACAATTCGCACCCAGATGTCTGGGTCCGCTAAAACATATAAGGCTATTGGCATTGTGTGCTCTGTGCCTGGATACTATTCTAAGCTTACCTTTGGTCGATAGTTTCAACTCAGCCACATCACAGATACAGTTCTGTCGTTTGTGATAAGTAGTAGCTGGCAAATAAACATAGTGGACATCGTACACTTTCTCAGTGCTACACACCGTGAGATTTTACGATGCGCAACGATAGGTGATACGCCGTCTTCAGATACAAATGGATGAAGTGGTTGAGGTGGATGTGGTACCAGACTACGACTAATGCGATCTTCTAGTCTGAATGTATAACCGCTAGGATAGTTTACTTTCTTACATTCACTTGTGTCCTTGTGTAAATATGAAACTTTAAATTGTTGCATTCTTTTCTCTGCTAGATATCATCCCACGAAACAATTTGTGATCTCTTCTGTCTCTTACACAGTGGAGAAATATATATTAAAGTGTATTTCTTAGGCTTCTCGCTCGTTCGGTGTTATCGGAAGACTTGAATAGCTTTTAAGTTAATGTCGCTTAACAGGACACTTCAGTACCCGTCTCTTCCCTGTGCGATTTTATCTAATAGAGTCATTGGGGTTGTGAGTCAAACTGCGTAAGTAGTGGGGTCTTTGCTGCCCGAGTCTATTAACGCTAAAATACAATCTACTCTTGGAAGGTCTAGTATGGAGTCTTGCAGTACCAGCCGTGTAACGGGATAGTAACACGTAATCTCGATTAAGGCTATAGTTTGCTCTGAAGCAAATCTACACTATTTCATTCGTCGGGAAAGCATCCGAAGTGGAGAGTTCCGGTGTTACTCTATCGCACGACCCAATGGATTGTAGGGTTTGAAGAGCGCAGCTCCAAAACTCCCCACTTCGGTTGTGGTCCCAGTGATATAAATGGTATGCGTTTGCCATAAAGTTAATTGTAGCCGCAATCGAGATGCACATCGTAAATTAAACACACTGGTTGTACTCCAAGACGCAATAATAGGTATTGTGCTATAATTTCGCACAATGCTAGACCCTATTGCTACAGGGTTGGCATCCTTTGACGGGGGCTAAGAGGCAGTAGTTTTGAGCAAGTAGCAATCCACTTCGAAAGGTTAGTAAATGCATGCTATTTTGTATGCTTAGATACAGAATCTGGAAAGTTAAAGACATGTAACCCGTGGTTGTCTTCAGTCACGTGAATGGTTTGCGCTAATAACATTACTAGCGGTATCTGCTGTAAACACACGAACGCCCATACACATTCGAGGATAGCACTCGGAAAATCGTTCCATTATGTTTGACAAAATAACTTAGCACCCAAAAGTAAATATAATCCGTGACGAAATACATAGAGGGATAACTGACACTCTGTATTCGCCAATGCATTTCGGCACATTAGCTGAGGTGTGCATCCATCCCCCAGTTATAGTGATTTGATGATGACGACGACGACGATGCTGAGGATGACGGATGATGGCCTGATGATGATGATGATGATGATGATGATGATGATGATGATGATGATGATGATGATGATGATGATGATGATGATGATGATGATGATGATGATGATGATGATGATGATGATGATGATGATGATGATGATGATGATGATGATGATGATGATGATGATGATGATGATGATGATGATGATGATGATGATGATGATGATGATGATGATGATGATGATGATGATGATGATGATGATGATGATGATGATGATGATGATGATGATGATGATGATGATGATGATGATGATGATGATGATGATGATGATGATGATGATGATGATGATGATGATGATGATGATGATGATGATGATGATGATGATGATGATGATGATGATGATGATGATGATGATGATGATGATGATGATGATGATTAGGGTGATCGTGATGCTGATTATCATCAAGACGAGGTTTTTGATGTTGATTTATACGAGGGATTTATTGCAATTACCCAGTGAAATGGGAGTTGGTTTATTGCTTCATTGTAGTCTTTAGGTCCTGGGTTGCTTTGCGTGTTTTGACAGCTATTGCATTGATTCAGCATGTACTGACAAGCCGATTCACTGACCTACTGAAGTAATTGCTTGGGCATTGTAGGTAGTCTACTTGCGAGTTTTAGCGAGAAGGTTCTGCGTATCCCTCCGACATTTATCTTGGAAATAGTGTCTAAAACCTAGTATTCTAACGTTCCTTCGAAAAGTTTAGTATAGACTCGTGAATACAGTTGAACCAGCAGTTCTTCATTTTACAGGGTCCATCGGCCTAGTTGACTGGAGCGGTTTTGAGTAATGTTAAAAATCATTTCATGTGGAATACATGAGTGTATTCACGACACTGGCACCTTATATTTCATCCTCGAGTAGGCTATTCTGTAAAGAGCATGAAATGCGTGTAATCCGTAATTTATGCTCCGGTTTACAGGAACACATCGCATGACCTCTACACATCTAGACGTCCACCCCAACGGCAAGAATCGCTAGATGATTTTAAGTCAGTTTGAAGCACTCGTTGTGTGACTTGATGATGAGGTGCGAATTATAATATTCATACAAAAAGTATGCCATTTTCATCACGTACCAGACAGAAACGCACTGCTCCGATGGATATGCTGTAATCATTTTGAGCGTATTTCGTTTCCCATTTCAAGGAAGCGAAAACCATTGAACAATGTCTAGCACAAATTGATCAAATCCTACATGCTGGCGCCGTGCAACAGAAGTAAGTTATTAGCTTTTCATTAATTTGTTAGTTATCTGACGTACTAGACTGACGTGGTACCACAAAGGTGTCATCCGAATTAGATTCAAGATACCGTGTATAGCCATGAACGTTTGATAGAGAAATGGCATGAATAGTATCGGAAGCAACACATACGTGCTGTTGGATTAGATTGATGGAGACATCAATTTTCGGCCTTTAACATTTAATTCCATTACGAATATCGATAGCAAATTGCAGCCTGGAGGTTGACTGTGGTTGACACGCGCTGCATCAGCCGTAGCTCCATTCACATGCATTCAAACCCAAATGATTAAGATCAGGCGAAATGCGAATGTGAACCACAAATGATTCGGGACCATCCCACTCTTCTGTAGTACGCCCCTTGGTATGGTAGTTGAAGGAAACAGATCTATCGGGCATGGATCAGACACTGAACCTAGTACTGTCCGTCAAACCATACAGCCCATCCTTCTCGGAAAAAGTGAGATTAATCATAGGGCCAGTAACCAAGGTAACCGTATCAGTCGGTTAGACAAGTTGTCAACACTCGCATCTCCCAGAATCATCCTCGATGAATACTCAGGTACAGAGTTTCGTTCAACACACCAAAGTGATAGGTAATGGCCCGGGGTCTCGTCAACCACAGCAATGATACAACTCCAAGAATGAGAGTGCGAATGGTAGCCAAATTGGGCATCTTGTGGTCTGTATGGGTGATGCTTGAATAACGCGATCGGGACTGGGGGACCCATTGGACATTCATCATAAAGCTGCCCACAACTTGCCCATCAAGCTAAAACAAGGATGGTGCGTTGCAGAAACCCAATAGACTTTTAAAATTAAGAGAAAATATGAAAAAGTCAGATGCAAACAAAACGAAGAAGCCCTATATACACCACAAGGTGTACGAATGAGATGATAGGCGTCCAATACGCAAGCAGAATCAAAAGGTGATTCAGTGTTAATTAGCTACATAGTTTTAAGATACTGACGCAGTTCAGACGAGGAATAGGTAATGGGAACTTATGGATGCTTAGCCCGTTATGTATCCCGACTTCAAGTAAGGACTAACAGTTCTGCCAAAAGATCCTGGCGGTAGATTGAGCAGTCACTTGAGCAAAGCACAAAAGCCTTAGTGGAATCGAAAAGCCATCAGTATTTTTTACCCATTCACACTACAACAGATTCACGAAGACTGGTAGAGGATGTTGTATAGCAGCTATCAACACGCCTTCAGGGTTGCTAGATGTCTAGTGGCTATACAAAGGTTAGCTTGCTTCTTGAAAGCGAGGCTATCAGAGGCCGCATACGACACAGTGAAGCCAGTGAGATGAATTGCGAGTTCCTTTACTTTGTCTTAAGAAAGTAGTTAGGATATGAAGCTGCATCAGTGTACAGCAAGCGATTAGCCAGCGGAGTCCTGGTGCAAGTTTCATTCCTACCCTGCTTCGACCTATCGACTTTGCGTAAAATCCATGAGTGTGATTTATTCGGAAGAAAAACGCTATCCTGCCAGTAGCAGCCTTTGTGTTAACCAGCTAAATTTTTATTGTTCATAGCTTAACGTCTTCGCGGCGCTCATTAATTGCTTTAAAAGGAGTAGATACACAAGTTTGCTTGTGACCACACAAGCTAGCAATCAAATGCTAACCACCTCTATGCTGCAGAGAGTTAAACACCGGTAGAGGTTAAGTCACACCAACAGACAACTGGCTGCATTCACTCTGATTGCAATGCCAAAAGTTAATGCTGTGCGAAAGGATAGTTGTGAGTTGCAAACCCGCACTGTTTGAGACAGTTGCACTCTAGGAAGTGCTCCAATAATTGCACTATCAATGATACACTTCTAGATGTATTGGATTTTTGAAAGATCACTATTGTGATCGTTAAATTTAAATTATCATTATCTATCATTATGCACCAAGAAACTTATAGCATATGTTGCATAGTCTAACACTACTTTTTTGAATAAGACGATGACAAAACAAGCGAGGTGGCAACATTTAGTATTATCTGAGCACTTGCAAACTAACAATTTATGTTGTTTGTGAGAAAACCATCGCTTTCTTACTTACTTAAATAAGAAAGCACGCGGATAAAATACAACAAAACTTTGAATTAGAACAAAGGTCAGGAACACCAGGGAAGCTTTAGCTTTCCTTTAGCTGTGTCTGTACACGAAGAGTAAGACGACGCGGATTAATGGTTAGATCTTGGGCAAAATTCCACTCCGGCCTTTTCGTTTCGGTAGACAATCGTCAACGTTGTTTCTGGGCCAAGTCGATGACCTGCACCGATTAGGTGTCCAGTCTGTTGATCTTTATACCTGTTGCTTGTTGCCCCGGAATATTGTAGCGAGAAAGACAAGACAGGGGGGTAGACGTTTATTGCACACCGAAAATGGGCACATGAGGGTCTCGCGCGCGCTTTACAAGTCCCGTTAGATAGTTGCTGGGGATATCAACATAACAATAATGATGATAATGATAATAAAATAGTTAACACATTAAAAATGAAAATAAGGACTAATCGTTTGCTTCGCTGCAGTCCAGCGATCGGCTTAGATTCACAGCATCCACAGTCAACAACAAATAATTCCATGGTAAACTCCAGATGTAGGATGGAGACGTAGTGTAAAGTAACAAAGTGTAAGTGGATGAGTGCATCGTCCAGCCGTCTTTTAAATATTGTTAGTGTCGGTGCAGAGACGACCGATTCTGGGAGAGAATTCCACGGGTGACAGACACGAATGGAAAGGAATTTCTGCGGCACTCCAGACGATTGTATTGTTCTGCGAGTTTTAATGAGTGGCCCCTCAGGTTTGTATTGCTGCTGAGTTGCAGTAAAGGGCGGCACACATGATGTGGGTCTCGCAGAATCAAGTATGTCATAATCAGGTCGCCTCGTAGCTTGCGATAGCTTCCACTGAACAATCCTAGTCGTCGCAGCCTCTCCTGGTAGGAAAGATTGCGCATTCCAATTACCTTCTTAGATGCAAGGCGTTGTGGCTGCTCCAGTGCATTAAGGTCGTGTTTCAGGCATGGATGCCAGGCTTGAATTGCATATTCGACATGGGGGCGAACATACGCACTGAGCATTTGTCGAAATATGGAGCTGTTTATTTGTCCAAACGCCCGCCTCAACAGCCCGACATACTGGTTCCAGGTCTTCGAGGCCTTTTCGGATTGCCTGGAGCAACCCAAGTCATCTTGAACCAGGACACCCAAATCACGTTCAAGAGTTGATTGTTGCAGTACATCCGTTTCGAGTCGGTATGAGTAGCTGCTTTGATGTCGGATGGAAAGCACCTTGCATTTACTGACGTTGAAATACAATAGGTTTTGGGTCGACCATTGATACACTGTATCTAAATCACTCTGAAGCACATGTTGGTCAGCGTTCGCCTGGATCCTGCGCCAGATCTTGATATCGTCGGCAAACATTAGGAAGTTTGAAGCGATTCCCTGCGCAAGGTCATTAATAAACACCAAAAACAAACGTGGACCTAGAACTAAGCCTTGCGGCACACCACACTCAACTTGTATGGGGTCCGATAAAGAGCTGCAAACTCTGACCACTAATTGCCTTTGAAATAGGAAGTTGGCAATCCAGCCTAAAAGTAGGTCTCCGATCCCGTAATGCTGCAGCTTAGTTAGTAGTATCCGATGGTCTAGACGATCGAAAGCCTTGGAAAAATCCAGGTAGATCACATCAACACCTTCTCCAGCGTCGGCTGCCTCGGTCCAACTACTACGTGCAATTAGTAAATTCGTTGTACATGACCGCTGTCGACGGAAACCGTGCTGCTCAGGAGTGATGAGGTTGCAGTTTTCCAGATAGCACACCAGTGCATCGGCAACTATGGATTCCATGACCTTGGAGAGTATAGGAAGAAGGGATCCTGGGCCGTAGTTGGAGGGATCAGTTCTGCTTCCACCTTTGTGAATCGGGCTTATTATTCCAAGCTTCCACATGGCGGGAACTTGGTTTTGGTCTAAGCAGTGCTGGAAAAACTGAGCTGAAGGTCCTGCCAGTTGGTTTGCTGCTGCTCCTAATGCCTCTGGACGAATGGTGTCGACACCCGGCGAGCTGTGTTTGCGTAGAGAAGTCAGCTTTTGCAATACAGCCTCTGCGGTAAAATTGATGTGGGTTAGTCCTGGTGAGCAGAATACAAAGCTTGGTAGATCGCTTGGTGGCAAGACTCTTTGAAACGTGAGGGCGTATTGCATCTGCAGCGCGTTTGCTGCTTCCGCAGCCTTTCTTGTTGGGCCATCAGCCGTCTTGAGTGGAGGAAATCCTTGCCTCACCTTTCGTAGGCTATTAACGTGCTTGTACAGCAGCTTGTGGTTAGCACTGAAGGCTTTTTGCGATGTTCTGCTGATGGGCGGCTTTGTCTTCCCTTAACAGTTGAGTGTTGTGGTTACGCTAGGCTACGTAGTTGTCCCAAGTTTCTGGTGCTGGAGCTTCTCTGTACACTCCCAATGCTGTGTTGAGTACTGTCATCCATTTTCGGGTTCTGCTCCTTACAAAAGAAACGGATTTGCACTTATTGCAAGCTTTTATCTCCGAAGCCTGTGCAATCAGCTGACTGAATGTGTTGACGAACTCGAGCCAGGCGACTTCCGGGGGTTCTTCTTCGAGGTAAGACCATGTTGTGGCGCTGACTAGCTGGGCGAGTCAGACGTACCTTGTGATGGTTCGCACAGTATCATCGTTATCATTCAGATATTCTGCATAGCAGGCGAAGTTGAATCTGATCACGGCGTGATCATTGCGACCCAACGGACAGTGTAAAACCAACGCATCAATCATATGCTCCTCGTTGGTAAGCACAAGATCCAGCACAGATGGCCTGTTACCAGTTCTGAACCGAGTGGGCAAAGTGATGTGGTTGTAAAGAGGAACAGTAGTTACTAGATCTTGTAGGTCGGTTTTGTATTGTTCTCCGATCGTGGCAGGGGTTTCTAAACAATGTACGTTGAAATCACCCATGATAAGAAT